TTTGTATTAATTTAAAGTGACAAGTTGACTGTACTTGAAAATGAGTAACTAATCACAAGCGAATTACTTAAAAAGCTTTGTGTTTATTTACTTTTTTTAAGTCAGCTAATGTCTTTTGAAAACTGTATCATAACTGCAATTATAAACAAATATTTAAGACCTTGCACTATAGATATGACTTTGTGAGACTAATCGCTTTATTTGCATGTCACACTGACAATACAATACACAATGCCTTTTTTGGCATTATAAGCATTTGTTGCATACATCACAGAATAGAAGATGAACTCGTGAACTCGTTACAAGATGAACTTGTAATAATGTTGACTTAAACAGCTTTACAGTTCAAATAATAGACATTTAAACTATATATTGTAAGTGGTTTTTATATTTATAAAATAAGCTTCACATTTATGATTTTAAGTCCTTCTAATTTGTTGTAATGCCATGGTGTGACTTTCGTTTCAACATTTTTTTTTCTGTGTCTTAAAGGGGTCATGAACCAAGAAACCAAAGTTCCCTTGCTCTATTGACATGTAAGAGTTCAAAGTACTATAAAAACATCCTGTAAGTTTCAGAACTCGGCACTTTGTGGTTCCTATAAAACAGCCAATATTGAAAGCAGTCTGACACAAACACATGTTCTGGAATGTCCTACTCTATGATGTAATAAAGTGGATAAGCCACGCCTCCGTAGAAGATCAAAACCAACTTCCACTGCCTGTTCAGCACTGTTGATATGCAAAACTATTAGCCAATCAAGGTAGAGGATGTTAACTTCTGAGTCTTTATTTGGCTACGCCCACTCAAACAAGCATTCTGTCAATAAGGGTCAAAAACGGCATATAAAATAATCAATTACTTCTAGATTTTGATGTATTTTTGATGTTAAAATCTTGATTATACTATAAGTGGACCTCAGAGCAAGTATAAAATAAAAATAAATAAATAAAAAAACTGATGCAGTGCATTTATGCTAATCAACCTAAAGCCAAGAATGCTGCTGATTGACCACCATTTGCTGAAACATTCCACTCACAGTTTATTGCAGAGCACAAGAAGCTCTATTTTCCCTTGCTAAAAGACTATTTCTTCAGCCAATTCCTCTTTCTATTTGGTTGCACATTACACAATGATTCCCCTGTCGGCTGAGACAGAACCAGTTCTCGTCATCCGGTGTCACATAAACCAGCACTTTAGAAAGCGCTTGTGCTTTGATGCTGATGTGTGCAGCTGAGCTTGTGTCTCTGTCTCTTATAGCGATGGCCAGTGACTGGTCTGTTCAGGTTGCCGAGAAGGTCAATAGAGGTTTTGACAGGAGGCGATCGATAGCAATGCTGACTGCAAGGCCAGTAAATGGGGGGATGGGAAACAGACACAACATGTAAACAGCGGAATATGCATTGGGCTCCGTATCAGACACTCCATAATCGCAATTCAAGGTTGTTTGCATGACTGAGCTTTTGGTGTCTTCTATTGTGGCATAAGTGCTGTGTCTTATCTCAATGTAGAGATTAATATTTTATACAGGCCTTTCCATTAGGGTGCAGAATATCAGCCTCTAAGCAGTGTGTGAGGCACTCTTGTTGAGTTACCTGATAAAACCTTTAGGTTTCCAAGTACGAGATGCAATTTTTACCAAGTTTTATTTTTAACACCTACGAACTCTCACTCTTCCTTTTTTGGGGGGTTGAATTGAACAGCAGACAGAAGAGTGTCTATAAAAAAACAGTAAATTAATACAGAAATTAAATAATCATAGATTAAAAACAATATTAACATATTAAATAATATTAAACATTGACATTGGTTTGTTTTTTCAAAAGTTAGCATGTAGTTTGTATTTTAAAAGTTGTAATGCTTGTAATAAAGGTGGAAAATTATATTAGTTTTCTTTAAAATATTAAGCATGATTATTTTTACCAATAACGGTTGTTACTAAAGATTCACCATTAGAATTATTTTTAATATATACAATTAAAGTCAGAATTATTAGCCCCCATTTAATTTTTTTCTTTTTAAAATATTTCTCAAATGATGTTTAATAGAGCAAAGAAATTTTCACAGTATGTCTCTTATTATTTTTTTCTTCTGGAGAAAGTCTTATTTGTTTTATTTCAGCTAGAATAAAAGCAGTTTTTAATTTTTTAAACACACTTTTAAGGTCAAAATTATTAGCCCCTTTAAGCTTTATTTTTCCAATAGTCAAACCATCATTATACAATTACTTACCTAATTACCCTAACCTGCTTAATTAACTTATTAAAGTGTCTTGAAAAATATTTAGTCAAATATTATTTACTGTCATCATGGCAAAGATAAAATAAATCAGTTATTAGAAATGAGTCATTAAAACTATTATGTTTAGAAATGTGTTGAATAAAATCTGCTCTCCTTTAAACAGAAACTGGGGGAAAATAAACAGGGGGTGCTAATATAAATAAATAAAAAGATAGAATATGAAAGATATTAGGAATAAAGGCTGTGTTCATACCATTAACACTTTTTTGACTGATCCGTAGAGCTTTTATCACATAAACATTTTAAATAAACATTATAGGTTATCATATTTGAAGAAATATTACAGCATATTTAGTGTTAATTATGTTCTACAGTCTGTGGAATGCTATTAGTTAAAGATAAAACCTTGGTTTATAAAAACAAACATATAGTTAAAAGTAATAGATTCTAGTAATAGATTCTGATAGAGGTCTATTGGGAAATACATTGCATTAAAGCTACCAACTCATACATGTGGGTAAAACATATATCTGATATTCTATAGTTCAAATTAGATGGAAAGAAACATCATTGTGCTCAAGCAGAATAAACAAGCTGTTTTGTACCAAAAAAAATGGAAGTGGATGACAATGGATGCCAGACCTATGGAATTTACACTTTTAAATAAACAAATTAAAATGGATGGGACTATGAAATGATGAAATATAGTGGAAATAGTAATAGCATTGAGGTCAGCCTAGGCTCATTGGTCAACATGAGGTCAAGTGCCTCAAGCTGAGCGCCTGGCAGCGGCAAAGCAACAAGCAACAAGTTCATTTCAACGGAGAATGAGCAACTTCCAGCGACCTCCATCTATATGAGCATCATCGACAGTTGGCGATTAGGTGTCGAGTGACCAAACAAAGTTAAGAATCTTTCAACTTTATGCAAATGAAGAGCGACTTTCTTGAGCCAATAGGAGCACCAGTAGAACTCACGTGATGCTCTCTCAGCTCCTGCAGAGGCCGGTTGTATACTATGTTCTGTAGACCTACACAGACCTGTGTTTACAAAGTCGCTGCTAGTGTGAATGAGGCATCAGACTGCATTTTTGTTTTATTGCATGAATCAGATAACAAATCCTCTGAAGGGTGCTGTCTCCATTTTTTTATTTAAAAAAACATTACTTATGGTGCGTTTTTTGTGTACATTTCAGACACACGTCAGATACACGTCTTGTATACATCCAGGAGAAGGCAGGCCTGTCTTACAGATCACCTATAGTAAACCACTGACCTAAACCCAACCATTAGTGTTGTAAAAGCAAACTTAAGAGAAAGTGCACAGCGGCCACATAGATTTACCTTGATTTTACATTACTTTTATTGTGGAACAGTGCTTCAAACCAGAGCACTCTGCATTCTGCACTCTGCATCACTAATGCAGTACAACACAGAGATCTAATACAAAGTGAGCTACTGAGCAGTCTGACCACACCAGAAAAATGTCTATATGGATATATGGGTAACTCTTCAACTACAGGCACTTTGTCCTTTGATCATATATCCAAATATATATGTAATTTTGTTCAAATTCCTCTTTCTTTTTTTTTCAAACTAACAATAAAAACTCCTTTAAAAAAAAATTAAACATAATAGTTATTATTGTGAGACTATTATCAATATTATTTTTATACAAAATAGAGCTGTCGCACAGTATCAGTGTCATTTCCACCACAACACTGTAATATCGTTTTAATAGGTTAGTGTGAAAGATTATTTAGATGGTGTATATGAAAATGAATAGTGCCATCGGATCGAATAAAGAATTTAAGAGATGGAGAGAATAAAATTTTTTAACAACAACTCTCGAAGAAAAATCAAGGTAAATTTTGCTTGATAAGGAAATACATTTATTCTGCGCATTTCTAAACATGTTGTACCTTCAAAGATGTTTTGAAAAACCAAACAAAATTAAGGTAAATAAGAGTTTTGTATACATGCAAGGCTAGTATCAATTTAAAGCTAATCTGTGAAGTTATTTTAAATTTTTTCACAATGAACTGTTGAAATGTCATTTCCAGCACTGTCATTTTCATCACCACACCATTTAAAAAAATATTTAAGAAGTTCTCATCACATATTAAAAGTGTATTCACAATGTATAAGTTTATGCTCTATTTAATTTATTTTTTACAAATTCAGTTTATTTATTTTCTAATAAGCTCTTAACCAAATTAACATTGCATCTTAGAGTGTGACAGGTGTACAACTCAGCATACAGCTAACTTATTTCATTGACAAATGTATAATTATTAAATATATAGTGTGGAAAGATTGGTTAAACTAGATACAAAAGTTATCTTAGACAATGTTTGACTGCCATTTTGAAATAAAAGCTGTATATTGAGATGTGGTGGAATTGTTCAGTTCACGAATGGAAAAAATGTTAAAACCAGACAAATTGTTTAAACTTATGAAGCTATGTTATGTTAATTTTGAACAAGTTTTTTTTTACTTACAAACATATCTGAACACACATCATAAATACCTTTACGTTGTTTTGGGTTTTTATTTGGTTTTATGCAAAGAAATCCAATGAATAGTCCTTTATTTGTCAATATTTAATCCCTTTAAATATCATTAGTGTGAAAAGGAACAGAAGTTATTGGTGTCATACTGTCCTGTATATGTTTCTAGGTCATTTTGATATTTCATATCAAACGTACGTAGAAGTATAGTGTGAAAGTGTTGACATCCCTTTTTTTGTTGTTGTTTTTCAGTTCATGATTACCACATCATCATCGTCAGCAAAACTCAAACTGACCTCACTTGGACCCTGACGAACAGTTTGAAGTGTGGACATTGAGACTGCCAGACAGCAGGTTGGGTAAAATCAGCAAACACCGTACTTCATTTCTCCTCATAATTTCCCTTTCTTGTTTCCCTTTATTACTTCTCTTCCAGTAAATTCCCAGTCATGTTTAGTCACAGTACATACTACATTAGTTGTTCTTCCAATAATCTTAGCAGATCTATATTAAACGTGTTAGTACATTTATTATGAGTCCCTGGAGTCTCAGAGAGTGTGACTTATAAAGTCACTTAAGTTCCCATGATGCCTTTGGAGCAAGGCACTTAACCTCCATATGCTCCCAGCTGACTGTCTCTACAATTAGCTTACTGTAAGCAGCTTTGGCTGAGAAAAACATCTGCTAAATGGCAAGAAACCAAAGTGTAATTGATAGCCTATAATAAGATCACGCTCACCTCTAATTCAGTTTCAAGCACATCTTCAGCAACAGTTGAATATCAGAACAGTCATAATTGCCTTTGAATTGACCATCCAGCTCTGGTGCTTTTGTCTGATGCACAGTGTGTACACATATGAGCCGTTTTAAGGGCTTTAAGCTCTTCACAGGCCCTCTGACATATGATAGGCCTGCTGTGTATTAGGCTGTGTACAGTTTGTGTGCTTATGTGCATAGGTTTAGATAGTTAGATCAGTTCTTTTTCTTTCCCCCATGTCCTCAAATGACCCCTGTTCATACAGTATGCTGTAACCCATATGCTCCCTGAGGTTATATGTAGTCATCTATTTGTAGCACATTAGTAAATACTACTACCATGTGTTGATGTTTGTATTATGTTGTTTATGTTCGGAATAGCATACTTGCATTAGATACTACACTTCTTTTTTATATGCTGTATATGTTTCATAATATATTTCAGTCATTTGTTGTTGTTTTGTAAGTTCACCACGTCAAAAATGTGATACAAAATGCATTATATAATTCATTATTATATTGTGTATTTTTAATTATTGTGAAATATTTTAATTATTGTGAAAAAAAATGTAAAAGTAGAATTTTTATTTTTATTTTTCATTTTATTTCTGTCACATGTTCTTTCTGAAATCATGCAAATAACATTGGAAAAATGTCAGCTTGCAAATACAATTTTTTAACCTTTAGAATTACAAATCTGTACGTCTACTTTGAAATATATTAGCCATAATTTTAGATATATGTTCAGATATATTCAATTTTAATATATCTAAAATATATATATTTATCTGAAACTGAAACTTCTGTATCATTAAACATTTTAAAGTGTCTTTCAAACAAATCCAGGAACATTTGCTAAGTACATTTTCTATTAATACATGAAATAAATAAAATCTTTCTAACCTTTCATGAATCTATTTTACCCTTTCTAATCTTTTTTGATAATGATAATTCATATTTTGCAGTGTTTTGTTCTGCTCTTGGGCGTTTTTGGATGATCATGATTAAATAAATATTACAATAAAACTACCAGTAGGTGGTGACAAGTTCCTTTTTAAACAAATAATTTACTGAATTATTTATTCAAACAATTGGCTGATTCCTTACAAATTGTCATTGTGATTTATTTGAAATAAACAGATATCACACACTGACTGAGTGTCAAAAAAGTATGTTCTATATAGTAAGAATAGGAGTAGTATGACTTTAATTCAATGTGCTATATCCACTATTCTGTCATTACCGAATTACCTATTAGTAGGGCCAGACAGAATCTGCGGACATTTTTTGCTGAGAAGTTTGTAAAAAAATCTGCAGATCATAACTAAAGACTTCATATATTAAATTAAAAAATAATAATTTTAACAAAAATTTTTATAATAACTTTTATTCAATGTTTACAATGCAAAATCCAATTAGTCCACTTATTTGGTAAACAAAGCAAGCCGTTGTGTACGCTTTTTCACATCTCAAATTTCACTCGTGAGAGCCATTTTTGCCTACTGTTTTCAGGTAAATCCACCAGAGGCCACTGTGGACTGATTTACTGACTGACCAACCCTCCTTCTCTAAACCCAACCGATAGTGTTTTCAAATGCACAGATTAAACCGATCACCCCCATTCCTAAACACAATCCAGACAAAGAAAAGCCCTTGTGGCCGACTGATTTTTTACCACGTTTTCTGATCTTACCACGTTCTCACCCTCAATTTTTTTTGTCTTTTGTTTTATTTACCTGTTTTCTGTTTTTTTGCCTGACTCGAACATCGTCAATGCAGTCAATTCCTCTCTGCATTTCAAATTCGCTGACAGTTAACATGGGAAAGGCCATAGATAAGTGGTCACCTGGTTGCGCAAAATGAAACAGAAGCCATTGGTGGCATGATACCGCTCCATATTGTTCGTTTTTAAGGCGAAATGCAGCCATACGCAGCTCTGACTACATAATTTGCGCTCTCCAGAAATGTATAGTGGTATGTTTTCACAATGAGCCTGTGTTGAACAAAACACTGCAGTGTTGCTCGGTGACACACAAACTTTGTTTACAATAATGAATTCAAAATAGCTTCACCACACAATGAATGCTTTTAGACTCTCCAGATTTTTTTCAGTTTTTTTTTTTGTTGTTGTTTTTTACCCACGTCACCTCACACTTTATTAAACCTACAATTACGGTATTTATCAAAAAACCATAATCACCACACACCACTAGTAGAATTCACTACTATCTTGTGTGTTGCCGCTAGTCATTTTTCAGCTTGTCATCATGCTATTTTCCAGCAGCTCCACAGTCAATAGTCAAGATTTGTGGCTCAGATGATTGTCTCCAAAAATGCAGCTCTTTTACATACTCTTAAAAATACTGTACTTCAGCATGCAGTACACAACACAGAATGCACTTTGCTAGTAGTATTCAGTTCCGAACATAGCTCTTGTATACAGCGCATGCAGATTTGTAACACTGTTGTTGTTTTTTTAACTTCCTCAAGCCTAAAATCTCCACACATCAAAACAAAATCAAGATGGTCACAATGGCAACAACAGTAACCCCCGAGCCCCTCACAGCCCTCTCTCGGTGGTACCTCTACGCCATCCACGGCTACTTCTGTGAAGTCATGTTCACGGCCGCCTGGGAGTTCGTAGTGAACTGTAACTGGAAGTTTCCTGGCGTGACCAGCGTGTGGGCGCTCTTCATCTACGGGACCTGCATCCTTATCGTAGAGCGCATGTATCTATGTCTGAAGGACCGCTGTAACGTGCTGCTCCGCTGCATCATTTATACACTCTGGACCTATTTCTGGGAGTTTGGCACTGGTTTTCTGCTACGCCAGTTTAATGCCTGTCCGTGGGACTACTCAGAGTTTAAATATAACTTCATGGGCCTGATCACGGCTGAGTACGCAGTGCCGTGGTTCTGTGCCTCTTTTATCGTTGAGCGTTTAGTGATACGCAACACACTGCGGTTGCGATTTGATGAGGTTGCTGAATCGGGCCAGGCTGAAGAACGATTGGATAGAGGCGGAGGAGGAAGAGGAGGACGAAGAGGAAGAGGAGCCAGAGCCGGAGCCACCAGCGCAAACGGCTATGTGAAAGTGGATTGAGGATGCTATCGACACCTTCCTTTTCCCACAATACTCGAAAGCACCCATCACCCATGACTTAATCCACACATCTCTCAGTCTCTCTCCCACCTACTTCAAGGGAAAGAGCCGCCCGGACACAGTTGGAACTTTCTGATTTAATATATCGTCCAGCTGGCGTTCTTCGCACACATGGAAGGACTTTCATTTGTCAGCTCGGTGCTCAACGCTACCCTCGCTTCAGGTACGTAGGAGTGGTGCCCGGTGGATAAATGAGAGAGAATGAACCCTCCAGCCTCCTCCCAAACCAGTCCATCCACTCCAGACGCTCTCTGGGAGGGGACAAGCCAAATGGCTTGTGTTCCCTCAACCAAACAAATGTGAAAAACAGGAACGCAGACACATCACGAAAAGATATATCTATCAAATGCTTTAACAAAAAGAAAAGAAAGGAAAGTCCTTTCAGATTATAAAGAGTTTCCATTATGTATGTATATGTAGTAGCAAATAACTGTTAGGATAAGCTTACCATCTGAATGCTAGTATGTGCTATTTATTAATATCTTAAATTAGTTAAGATGTCACGATAATATATTGATAAAAAAAAAATATATATATATACACTGTATAACCTGAAAGCAATGCCTTGTACTTGAATTTGGTGTTTTTATAATTATTCGAAAAACAAATCAGTGCTTGGACGTGCATGAAAGTTGTCTTCCAGGATATTTTTTCCATTTAATTTATCAAGAGTGATGTTGCATACAAATTAATTTCTTCCATTTTTTAAAATGTATTTATTTTTCTCATCGAGATGAACACATACATGAGTACTATATTGTTTTCGCACTAGTGTTCAGTGGTGGAACCATAAAACATCACAATATCCCATCTTTTCACTGGAGAGAATGTGTTGTTGATGCTAATTGGTGCTAGATTCTCATCGAATCGTTTTGAGGGATCCGATGATGGGCACAAAACGTATCTAGTTCACTGACCTCAGGTATGTCAATATTAATGATTTCACCTCAGTCTCTGGTTTGCCATGAAATAGTCAAAACAATATTCTGGTGAATTATTTTAAATGCCAACATCACCTTGATGTGTTACCCGCATGGCTACAGTTTCAGGTAATAGATTTGCCAGAAAGCTTTGTTGAGCAACTGTATTGGTTCTGTTGTAACCAACTAAACAAACCTGTATTAAAATCACCAATTTCTGAATGGAACTCTTGTCCAAATTTCCCCTCAATGTTATGCTGTGGACTATATATCACTGTTATTATTACATATATTAGAATGTAACTGTTAGTCTCATACCATACACATTATACATGTCATTTTCATAGATCTGATGCTGTTGTGCAGCTGTTGTTCATTGTAATGTCATAGCATTTTGCATGTTTGTCTCTTTGACATGCTATATTATTGTCCAAGTTATAAATTTTAAATGATTATCAAGTGCTGACAGACAACAATATTCTATTCCCTTGAAATTTTGTAAGTGGTACCACTGTCATTGTTCATGCATAATAATCAGCCGCCATAATACATATAGATGTGTGTTATCCCTGATCTGAGCACTCCTCAATGCCGTGCACGTGTATGTTCACCTCTGTGTATACAGTTGTGCATTCAGGCAATAGTTTGATGTGCAGAAGCAAAGCAGTAAGTGCTATTTGAATTTCAAATGTGCGATTTACAGCAAGCAACACCATGCAACTCACACTTCTATACATCTGACAGTTTTTTTTTTCTCTCGGTTCATTAAAACTGTGATATTTTCGCATACACATTCTACAAGTGATCCTGTGCAGTAAGATTGCATTGACTAAATATATTGGCAGTTTCCTTTAATCTTTTAAACGTTTATTTATGAGCTTTTTGCATTTTATAAAACTAAAAAAATATAAAGAAGAGAAAAAAAAAACAATGCAATACAATAATAACACATTAAGTGAGTGCAGCCCATTTTAAAGATGAATATTTGTATCCATTTCCCAGTCAATATAGGCAATGTATTTTGGTCCATTTAAACAAAACAGATTTATTAAACAGATATATTTATGAAAATACAATTTTAATCATCAAACATATTTAGAAATTGACAGATTATACATTTAAATTCAAGCAAAACATTCAAAATAAAAATAAATAAAATCAATAAATAAATTACAGCCTAAAAATTTCAACTAAATTTTCCCATTTGTTTGTTTCTCTTGTATTTAATATATTTCTCTAACATAAAAAATTTGGAGTACTAGTTTTTGGACTGTTATCTTTAGTTATTTTGTTATATGACCTCCAGATTTGGTTTCAGTTCTGACTAATGTATATGCACAAATATAATATTGTATAACTTTATATTAAAAGTATTCATTTAAAAGATAAATTTGTGAGGGGTGGACTTATAAATGCTGAGCACTGTACAATACATAAAAACACCAACTTATGACAGAACACAGAGGGACTAATGCACATGAAAGCAAAATAGATTATAGCTGGTCAGGTAATGCATAAATAAAAATAATTATAAAGTAACATTGTTCTTATATTACCAGAAAAATGTGTTGTCTTGACTATAGGTTTACTGTCAAATTATAGTTTGGGCACTTTATTAAAATCATTATAGATTATGAATATGAAATGGTGAATATCAATTGCACCCAATCTTTAATTACTGACAGGGGTCATTGTTTATGCTTGCATTTCTTCCAATGCATTAAGGTATTTTAATATCTGTCCCCATGTTTTATCAAATATTTCCAATTTATCATTATTGATTTACCTCAAACACTCCAAAGCAAGCCACTTACGAACTTTAGGTACAGATTCAGTTTTCCACATTCGCAAAATAACTCTTTTTTACGACATACCAAATATTATGGCTTGTCTTTAATATTTATAAAACATCTCTAAGTTACTAAATATCCCAAGAACAGCTATAAGTGGACATAGTTTAAGATTTTTTTTTTTTTGAGGGCTTTAGAAAAACATTTAAATATATTTTCCCAAAATTCTTGTAATTTAGTACTACTGTACTTCTGTATAACTACTTTAGTACTGTATAAGTGAATTGGGTAAGCTAAAATTGTCCTTATTGTTTGAGTGTGAATGAGTGTGCATGGGTGTTTCCCAGTGATGGGTTGCAGCTGGAAGGGCATCCGCTACGTAAAACATATGCTGGATAAGTTGACGGTTCATTTCACTGTGGTGTCCCCAGTTTAATTAAGGTACTAAGCTGAAAAGAAAATGATTGAATGAATATGTCTTGCGTTAAATGAACCTGCATGTATATTCTCAAGGCCTTTTTCCCAACTCTCCGAATCGATCTCTAACCTTGAGCTGACATTTTAACAATAAAGCCAAAAAACACGGCATCCTCCAGGGGATAAAATGTACATTCAAAAATGTTCAAATTCTGAACTAATATAGACGTTTTTTGAATGTCTTTGAGAAATCAGCACCATTAGTAATGTATTTTACAACAATAAACGGTTACTTTACAATAAAGTTATGGACTAACTATGAACAATGCTTACATGTTCAACACCTACTAATGCAATATTAACATCCAAATTCATGCGTGGTAACATTAGTTACCATGAGTTAACATGAACTAATGATAAACAACTCTATTTTCACTAACATGAACAAATACTGTAATAAATGTATTGTTCAATGTTAGTTCATGTTAGTAAATGCATTAACTAACATGAACTAATACAACAGTATTGTAGTGTTACCAGATAACTCACAACCCATAAATACAAAGTGTGTACACGATTCCAATTGTCAAATTCTCTGGCTTTTCCCTGACTAACAAACATGATCTATGAATTTGAAGCAAAATTTAGGAAAGCTTATGATTTTTTTAAACTGGCACATACATCTTTTGGCCAGCAAAGACACTGTTCTAATTCCTTCCTCACCATTTGCATTGTTTTATAGTAAATAACATTATATTCATGTATAGAAAGTGATCATCCAGTGTGCGATATAACACACATACTTTGAGTTGTCAGACACAACACGGCAGTTTGTCACTTGCTTTGTAGATGTTCATTATTGCAACACACACTCATGTTTGTTGTACCAATAACTACAATTTTAACATGATTTTGCTTATGTTGTTGTTGACGAAATTTTAAAAGTTGTGTATTTTCATCAGTTAGAGTCATTCATCGAATACGATGATAGGTCAAAGTGTTTCTCTATGTATTATATAAGTTACAGAGACCAACAGTTCTTGAGATCAAATGTAATGAAGTGTAAAATGTGAATATCTGTGTTTATTTACAACAGCAAAACAGCACAAGTAATGCTGCATACATATTGCCATAAAATGATCAGAAACTTTGATAAATAGGAGGTACATTTTTTTAATGACTCCCAAAAGTCTCTGATATTCATGACTGGGTACAAAAAAATCCTTGACGTTCAATGTCTGTAGTAGAAATTAAAGTTCTGTGATATTGCAGAAATTTCATGACCCGTGGGAACCTGGTAAATAAATACTGGGAATTTCATGGGGATTAATCTCATGACTTAATCTTAATCCTTTGACTTTATTAACCAAAAAAGAAAAAAAGAAAAAAAAAGACTTGATTTGGATTACACTTATTGTTGCATTAGTTGGGAAGAAAAAATTGTTTTCAAAATGGCTTGTTACACTATATACACTTTTTTGAGGTGGCAGCATTTGAAGTGATGTTTGAAACCAGTGTACATTAATGCATACACTCATGACACACTTCTTTAACAATAATTGTATAACCAATACACTTAAAATAACTAATAGAATCAAATTATAGTGTCTCACCAGAATATATAGTGTTCACAGCACATCTGAACATCAGTTTACTCACTCGTTTTCATTCACTCATCCAGGGCTATGTCATTGAAACAATCCTTAGAGTTGAAATCTGAATTATTAGCCCCCCTTTGAATTTTTTCATTTTTAAATATTTCCCAAATTATGTTTAACAGAGAAGGGAAATTTTCACAGTATGTCTGATAATATTTTTTCTTCTGGAGAAAGTCTTATTTGTTTTATTTAGGCTAGAATAAAAGCGGTTTTAAATTTTTTAAAAAGCATTTTAAGGTCAAAATTATCAGCCCCTTTAAGCTATATATTTTTAGTCTACAGAACAAACCATCATTACACAATAACTTGCCTAAAAGCCTAACCTGTCTAGCTCACCTACACTGTAAAAAAAAAAAGTTGAGTAAACTTAAAATAATTAGGCAACCTATCACACATAGCTTTTTGAGTTAACTCAACAAACAGGGTTTGAAGACCAGTGAACTCAAAATATTTTGTTGAATTCTTTAGTTCTCTGAACAAAAAGTATCATGTTCACCCAACAAGATATTTTTGTTTGCTGAACAAAAAATATCATGTTCATTCAACAAGACATTTTTGTTTGCTGAACAAAAAATATCATGTTAACCCAACAAGACATTTTTGTTTGCTGAACAAAAAATATCATGTTCAACCAACAGGATATTTTTGTTTGCTGAACAAAAAATGTCATGTTCACCCAACAAGATATTTTTGTTTGCTGAACAAATATTATCATGTTTACTCAACAAGATCTTTTGTTTGCT